TATCCAGTTGCTTGTTGGAATTCTCTCCTGTTGGATCTGCCCTGCAGAGTGTGCTCACTAGTTTCATGTGCTGGGTCTTATTCTGCAAGTTGTTCATGTGTTGATGTCTTTTGCAGGTTTATCTTACCAGTGCTGGGGTAGTTTTCTGGGTAAGCAAGTGAAGAATTACTGGGGGAGACCCCTGATTTTCTAACCTTTATTTGCCCTTGCAATAAGTTGTGTAAAACTGGAGACTACTGTAAAGCATAAATTAAGAAAAGTGATGTTTGTGTTAGTTTTAATTACTTGGTCTTGTTAGTATCTCTCATACTTTAATGCTTTTCAAATAGCTTTGAAAACTCCAGAGTTCATCACTGCTGTGTTACCAGTGTTTGTTTAGAATACTTAGCCTTTCAGGCTGAAATGTGGATTATTTTGTGTTTTCCTTTGTTTTTAATTCTTACATGATCCCTCTTTTCAGATTTCAAATTATAATCTATTTCCTGATGCATTGCTGACGCCCCCGTGAGCCATGTCAGAAGTACTTCCAGGTCAGATCCCCTTTAAAAGATTCTGCTTTGCAAATATATAAAACTTTCTCATTTTTCTTCTTCTTCCCAGGCCCATCTTTTGCTTTCATTCTGCATTTACAAATGAAAAAGAGCAAAACCTTTCATTTATTTTTGACACCACCTTTTTGAATAAACTCTCTGTTTGGTTTTTTAAAAATAATTCCTATACAAAAAAGCCTTATTATAGTTAAAGGCAAATCAGTCTAGCATTAATGTTGTTTTTTCTGTTTGTAATGGCAATTTCTGTCTCTTTCTTCAAGCTTAGTAAGGCTCATTACGTGATTGAGAAACATAAATAAAAGCCATTCAAGTAATAGTGTTATTTATATTATTGTTATGCTTAATGAATTGGGACTTCTTCCTGTTAAGTACATTATACTGGTGAAAGTGTATAGTTATACTTTCAATGTATGGAAGCATATTTCTGGGACTGATATCTTATGAATAGCAAGCCAGAATAATTAATGAATTGCTATGGTAGATCCTCAACCTACCAAAATGCTGTTTTAAAGCACTTTAATGTTGATAATCTCTTTTCTATTCTTGGTTCTGTACAAGAGTCCAGTCTTTTTCTTCTTCAGATGCCCTGTTTTCCTTGCTTATAACTTACTACTGTACATGTGCTCTAGCTGCAATATGTATCAACGCAGTCATGCTTGATCTGCATGTCCATTTTTGCTCGTGTTTTAGCTTAAGCTTAAAGAAAGTTGATTATTCAGGTTCTGATGGGAGCTGTTGCTCACATTGTCTGGGGAGCAATTTGTACATCTATAAAATAAAGTGTAATAAAACTAGATTGAGGCAATTGGAAGCACCCACTAGTCTGGCAGGGAAATGGTGTGTCCATCCTTTGCTTTGCTCCTTCCTTATCATCAGAGTTGAGCCATAATCTCATTGCAGTGGGAGCACTGACCTCTGGCATGGCTGAGATGGTTAAGAGTAAATGAAGGCAGTGCAAGCCTTCCCAAGTGCTCCTTCTGAGAAGTTTGTTTCCACACTCAGAGATCTTGGCTGAAAAGCCAGTGTTGTGTGACTGACAGGAAATTTGTAATGCATGTATTGGCCCTTTTGGATGCTCTGTTACTGATGAAAATGTAAAGAACAACTCTCTACAGGACTAAACTACCAGCAACCACCATAAACCTAGGAACAGAAACACGTTTCAGAAGTGAGCAGAAAGGTAAAATCTATTTACAATGCCAGATGCTCTGGCAGATGTGACGGTCCAAGATTGAGCCGTGCTCCTCTCCTAACCCCAGTCAAAGTCAGTGAAGGTGCAGGGGCAGATCTCAGGCAGGGAGGAAAGCGTTTAGCACAGACACAACTCCTAAATGTCATAGAAGGCCCTAGCTGGGTGCTGCTGCTTGTTTCTGTTGTCTGCCCCATGTGGCTCATGAGAAGTAGTACAGGAGGAAGTTGCATTTCCTTGAAATTTTTAAATATAAAGCTGAGATGGGCGTCCTCTGTGAAAAGTGTGGGTATTTGAGCATCGTGGTGCCCTTCTTTTTTTGTTTTTTGTTTTTTAAGAAAAAGAGGAGAGGCAAGCTACATTTCTTTTTCCTCATGCTGCTCTGTTCTGCAAGTTAGAGTTTCTTATGATTATTTAAGCTTTCCCTTCCATTCAAATATTTTCCAACACTTTACTTAATCCTGGTGTGGTAGCACTTTCTGCCCTTGAGACCTAAGTCCTGACTTTGTATTTCATCTCTTTTCTTCTCTGTTGTAGTTTCCTTCCCACCTTCATTTCTCATTGAGAGAGGTTGGTGCCAGCTGTGCCTCTTGTGAAGCCTGATCTGGTGTGCAGTGACAGGAAGGGAGGGGATGTTCCTCTCTGCATACACCTCCTGCTGCTGCTGGTCTGCACAGGCTTGGGAGGCAAGCTGGTGTCCAGCGAAAGGTTCATGTGCACATTTTTCTGCTTACAATCAGAAAGCAGCCCAATTTAGTGCCCAGTTTATAAACGCTGCTTGGTAACAAAAGACATCAGGTGGAGTCTCTGGAGGCTTTGCTCCAGTCCTTGAGCCACGTGCCAGTGTTTGTCATAAACCAGCAGATGAGCTTCATCAAGCAGATAAGCAGAAGATAGCATATGCTGCTTCAGTGTCTCAGTGAGCTTATACTTAAGTTATTTTTGATATGCGAAATGCTAGCTGCAGGAGGCCAAGGAAAGATAATCTGACAGGCAGATACTTAAACTTTATCTAGGAAGATTATTTTTTTAAGTAAGTTGTTCAGTGGTGGAAAATAGCGGCAAACATTTTATACAACAAATTGCTTGTAGCAGAGGACAAGAATAAAAGTGTCTTGTTTCAGATTGAGGCTGTTTTATTTACTGATGGGAAAAAAACACCTCTGGAATGCAAATAAAACATAATCTAGCACAGATAGGTACTGTGCAAGTCCGTGAGTGCAGTAGATCAAAATTATTCTGCCTTAAAAATTTGTTCTTATATACGATTTCCAGAATGTCAGATTTTAACCGATTCAGGACAAGAATATGTATATAAAATAATAAAAATATATATAGAACAGCCAGTCTGCAAACATAGGCTTCTCCATGCTTTTAGATTAAAACATGTGCTTTGACAAAACTATGTTGGATCAGGGGTGAACTTTCTACTTGCACTAGTCTACACTGTTTTAGGGCAAGATGCAGGAAGCGACATGTATTGATGCATTTGAGATGTGCACTTAAAGAATTTCTTTCCATTTTATGCTGGCTGTGTTTTAGAAGACTTTTGTGGTTAAAACTGAAATTGGCAATAGGATGTTTAACCATTACCTAAACACAGGCTGTTGTGGTGTGCATGGGCAGTTCTGAAGCATTTGCAGTTGAATACAGAGCAGGCAATACGGGCGACTGTGTACTCATTTATTAACATTGTGAAGTGCTCCTTTTTGCTCTGTGTGTTTATGCTGATATGCTTTTAAAACCCAAATATTTAATCTCTTGCAAATCTATACAGCAGTTTATTCTGTCGTGTCAGATGTACAAGGATGCAGCACAGCTCACCTGAAATGATCTGTCATCAGCTAGCTCGAATGATAATTATTCATTCCTAGATAAGCCTCAGACATTTTTATGTGCAGTATAAGCAGTCGGTGATACTTGAGAATTAGGAGGAACAGAAAGGGTGCTTCATGCTGCAGCAGATGGAAGTGATTTATTAATTGGTGTCTTACTTGGTTGGTGGGTGTCAAAAAGAGTCACTACTACTGTGTGTGCAAGTTGAGGTGCTCATGGAATATTTGTACAAATTAGTAGGAGTCACAAATAGGCAGTAAAGGAACAAATGATGGTTTAAACCAAAAGAAAAGTATTTCTTCATAGTCTAAAACACAGTCCAAAAATCCATCCCCTGAAGAAACTTCATATTTTTCAAAATCAGAAACTTGCCTAGAAGTAGGCAAAGAATGGTTTCTGTTTAACACTGGAATATATGTCGTGCCTCTTAGGATGCATGTTGTATCCTTAAGTTTGAAGTTTGCGAGCTGTAGAAATAGTGAGTCAACTTCCTCTCTGAAGTGGACCTCTTTTTTCCTTTTCCTTCTTTAAGCTGATTGAACTAGAGCAGGATATTTTTGGGAGGAATCCAAAGCACTCTACCCCACACTGAACTCAAATACAGTTTTGTGTAATACAGTGCTGTATCAAACAAGGTGCACCAGTTGTTTCCTCATGCTTCTATCGTCCTTGTCCCTCCTCTGCCATAGAAGCAGAGAATCATTAAGGTTGGAGAAGACCTTTTAAGATCATTCAGTCCAACCTTCAACCCATCACCACTATGCCCTCAGATATATAATTACAGGGTTCTGAGGAATCACTGTATTATGAGTAGCCCTTCGTGCCCTAAGAGACCCAGTAAACACCCTCACTAAGAGCCTGCAATGCTCAGAACTTTCATTACCCTTTCCCAAAAAGGGGAGAAAAAAAAAAAGGTGAAACTTCAGGTGTGAGGAGGCAAGGGCTGAGTGGACAATCATACTGACAGTAACTGAAGAAGGAGCAACATCTGCACACAATCTATTGAGAAATGTCTCTGATTTACTGTTTCCTAGTAACGGGCACCAGAGAAGTTCTTCCCCTCTTGCACCCCCAAGGTAGTGGCGAAGTCCTGGAATGAGATGAGAGCAGGGGACAGCTCCTGGGCCTTGATGCATTTGCTGAGGTCTGTTCTCCTTGTCCCCAGCCTGCTGAGCATGAAGGAGCTCAGACATAAAAAAACAAACAAACAAACAAAAACACCTCATTGATACAGGGTCAAGCCTTCTGCTCGTCTTCTCAGCTTCATGGCGATGATCTCTTTTTATTTCTCTGCCTGTTTTTCTCTATTTAATAAGCTAAGCTGTTTTTTTGTTCTCTTAACCACTTAGATTATAGTGATTTTGCCAGAAGCCAAAATACTGTATAACACAAGTGTTTCATCGCTGCCTCTCTTGCTTTCCTAGTCGATTCCGGTGTGGACGCGCTGGCGGTGTTTATGGCAAGCAGCAGCACGACGGACGTGGTGAATCGCAACGGCCCCGCCACGCCGCCCAACACCCTCAGCCTGCGCTCCTCTCACAACGAGCTGCTGAACGCTGAGATCCGCCACACCGAGACCAAGAACAGCACTCCTCCCAAATGCAGGAAGAAGTACGCGCTGACTAACATTCAGACAGCCATGGGCCTCTCAGACCCGGCAGCACAGCCCCTTCTGGGGAGCAGCTCTGCCAATATGAAGCTGGTGAAGAACGGAGAAAACCAGCTGAGGAAAGCTGCTGAGCAGGGCCAGCAGGATCCCAACAAGAACCTCAGCACCACGGCCGGCGTCAGTGTGACTTCTGAGAAGTTTGAAGGCAAAGAGCCGATCCCACAGGACTCCTCCAGCTGTGAAATATTGCCCTCACAGCCCAGGAGGACCAAGAGCTTCCTGAATTACTATGCAGACCTGGAGACGTCTGCCAGAGAGCTGGAGCAGAGCTTTGCTGCGATGGAAGATAAATCTGCACAAAGCAACAGCCAGGCTTCCACTGTTATTGTCAATGGGGAAGTCCTGCCCCGGAAGCAAAATAAGCAGTCAAGCCCAGAGGATGGCCAAACTGCCACGGTGTCCTCGAGCCCTGAGACTAAGAAGGACCATCCCAAAACAGGGGCCAAAACAGACTGCGCACTGCACAGGATTCAGAACCTGGCTCCAAGTGATGAGGACTCCAGCTGGACTACACTGTCCCAGGACAGCGCTTCGCCGAGCTCTCCTGACGAAACAGGTAGGCAGCAGCAGCTGCTTAGTGTTGAGAACATGGGGCTGAACCTTCCCAGCTGGCAAAATGAAGGAGTGGGGCAGTTCTGCTGTGTTTTTATAGGGGTGTGGTGATAGCATCCAAACGTGGATGCTGCTTGGCCAACATGCAGGATGCTTCCTATTTGGTCCTAGTGCCTTACAGTTTGGTTTGGAAAAGGCACCATCAAATGCTTTAGGTAGGATCCTAAAAGCTGTGAGACCCGAAGTTTCACTGTAACTTCAAACTGCTTCAACAATGTCAGTAATATGCAAACTTCACAACTGCCGTTTTATAAATAATCACCCCAGTGCTCAGTGAGTCTGTGTTATGAGATGTATACAATTGCTCAACTATTGCTATTTGCCTGAGATGGCAAGGAAAAACTTTTCTGAGTATGAAGTGTTGCTTTTGAGCAAATATTTTCAGGTTTGGTAGAGATTTTAGTTTTCTAATTTAAATGTTTGTGAGCCCTCAGTCATTTGATAATACGCTTTTATTTAAAAGGGAAAGAAACTTAATTTGGGTCATTTAATTAATGTTTCGTTGTTGTTGTTGTTTTTTCAATGCAGTTTCATGCAGTATTCAGAAGCTGAAATCATGGCATATTTTGAAAGTCTGGGCCCATTAATTATTTGGACAGTAATGGTGACTGCTGCATGAGCTTCACTGTGATTTACAACATGTCTCATTTACCCTAGTTAATGGGCTTCATCACTTAGCATTTTTTTAATATCCAAGCCAATCTTTAAAGATACAACTTTGTCAAAATGAGAGGAGGCAGTGTAATTCTTGAGGGTGATGTGGAGCTAAACAAATTTATCTTAAGTTGTTTGCATTTAAAGTGATTTCATTATTACTGTATATAAGTTTTGTACTGTTTGGAGGCTACAATGATCCAAATTCACAGCTTCATTACCTGTCTGTAGCATCTGTGACAGCATCCTTTGGATGTAACAACAGTGATTTTGGGTGTTAGTTTGAGAATTCAGTCACAGCAGAAAGTCCCTACTGCTGTGTGGCAAATGATGGATCTTTCAATCTCTTTTGATGTGTGACACACCTTTGCTACTATAGAATGTTTTGTATAGTCATCTCTTCCTGTGAAAACTGAATGTTTTCTGTTTACTGAGATTGCTGTTTGAGTTAGTATTTTTTCTCAAGGTATATGATATGCATGCCATCACTGATAATATTTTCTGGAGAAAACATCAGTATGTTTTAGGTAACAGTGCCGAGTTTGTTAGCTCTGTCTGTGCACTTGCCCAAGGCTTGACAACGGAAAAATGTGGATAGAAAATTTATGTTCAGTGAAAATTAAATTAGCATAATTCCAAGTAACTTAATTAAATAAGGGTCACTCAGGATGAGCTAGTACAAGTTTTGTCTCTTTTACTCTTAATTAACGTATTTAATTTCTTCCTTCCAAGCTGTATGTTACCATTGTGTGACATCTGAGCTCTTTTAGCACTTGGACAAGAAGATTTTCTGAGCTCTTTAGGGTCTTTCAGCTGTGCTTGGGCTCCATAGGGTGGCACCATTGGGCTCATCGCTGCCACCCCACCTGGGCAGAAGGAGAGCATCATGTATGGTCTTCAGTCCTTGTGCTTCTGCAGTAAATGCCAGCAGCCAAAGGGAGAAAGGCATCCAGGAAAAAAATTTGCAAAAGCAGACAGCTTTAGTTTATATGGCTTCTGGGAAGGAAAAAAAGATAGAGTTTCAAGAACAGTTAATCCATTAAATAGTGCAGTGCAGCAGATGCGTGGAGAATTATTAATGTTCAGTCCAGAGATTGTATTTAGCACTTTAGCATACATAGGAATGTGATAGAAATACCATTTACCTCACAGTACATGGTTGAAAATTGTAATATACTGCTTTCACGTCTTTTAAATTGCTTCATCTTCCTCCTCCCTCTGAAAACAACTCACTATTCAAATCTTGGATAACTGAGTGATTGAGGGTTTGCTTGCTTTGTTTTTGGAAGTATGTTACTCAAAGACCCTGAAGAATTGGTTCTTATTTTTTGTGTGCACTAGGAACACATTACTATTCAGACAAAATCCAAGGCAGGAAACTTCTTTGTGATTTAATGGAAAGGTGCTTTTGAAAGATTTGACACTTTTTCTGAGTGGGGAGGAAAAAATGAGACAGCCAATTCAACCTTCCCACTGCAAGGAGGAAGGCCCTTGGCAGATGGATTTGTATCCCTAAATGAGAATATCAATCAAAGAGAGGAGTCAAAAGGGCAGTTCTCCTCCTTTCGGGCAGCACTGCTGCTGAATGTGACTGCTGTTGAGCAAATGCTTGCCTGCTGCTGGTCTCTCAACAAATCCAGGATGTCAGTTTAATGGCTGGTTACAAATAAACAAGTTCAGCTCAGCACAGAAATGGCAGCAATGAGACTGGCCCTTGGGGAGGGAGAGTTGGGATCTTGCAAATGGAGCCTGCTATTCTGAAATAGCAGTGTGTGTGGATATAACGTCCCTCTAATATAATAAAAATTGCAGCAAATCAGGAACTAGTCAGAAAGATTTATACCGAGGGTGAGTTCTGCCCCTGATTTTAACCTGCATCTTGGACAAAATTAAAATGAATGTCTTTAAAAGGTTCAGTTTTCCTTTGCAGTACGTATCTGATAGAGACAACAAGGATGTTATTTAGTACAGAACATGTTTTCTGTGTTCCTGAGCGTAGAAAATGATTTATGGTAATAGAAATGCAGTCAGTTATGCTGTGGATAAGCACAAGTCCTGTAATACAGGGGACAAAATATACTATCATTTGAACAATTGTAGGATTCCAAGTAAACATCTGACTTGAAGGAATAAGAGGTTTTGGTTCATACTCATTGTGCATCCTAATAGCCCACAAATTTAATAGCAGGCTGTCCTTGTTTTCTTGGTTTTTTTTGTTTTTTTTTTTAATCCTGCCTGTTGCTGATAGCTGTGTATCAAGAACGCAGGTTTTGTAGTCACAGACTTGACCATTTGCTGACTGCTTGCAAAATAGTAGGTGACTACTGCTGCATATCAGTATTTGTACATGAATGTACTCCCCATTCTATATGGGGAGTAACTAGTTGCATGTTTATATTCCTCTTAGCTGTTCCTGTGAGAGGATTTTGGGGAAGAAAAGGCAAGTCAGTTTAAGAGGAAAAAAATACCTAAAGGGCCACGTGGTTATTTATACAGTGTTCAAAATAATGACCAGTATCCAGGGTCTACTGATAGAGGGTAAACTGAACTTGAGAGGTGATCTCCTGTGTACAGGCTGCTGCTGTTGGTGGCAGAGAAGCCACTTGCTGCTCTTGGATGTTGGATCAATCTTCCCTTGAGTAGTGGTGAGTGGTGGTTGAAGTCAGCCTTCCCTTGGAGTACTGTGTCCAGGTCTGGAGCCCCCAGTACAAGAAAGACAGGGAGCTGTTGGAGAGGGTCCAGAGGAGAGCCACAAAGATGATCAGGGGACTGGAGCACCTCCGCTACAAAGACAGGATGAGGGAGCTGGGCTTGTTCAGCCTGGAGAAAAGAAGGCTGTGGAGTGACCTCACTGCAGCCTTTCAGTACCTAAAGGGAGCCTACAAACAGGAGGGGAGTCAACTCTTTCAAAGGGTAGATAACTGCTGGACAAGGGGAAATGGTTTTAAGCTGAGGGAGGGAAGATTTGGGTTGGATGTCAGGGGGAAGTTCCTTATGGAGAGAGTGGTGAGGTGTTGGAACAGGCTGCCCAGAGAGGCTGTGGATGCCCTGTCCTTGGAGGTGTTCAAGGCCAGATTGGATGGGGCCCTGGGCAGCCTGGTCTAGTATTAAATGGGGAGGTTGGTGGCCGTGTGTGTGACAGGGGGGTTGGAGATTCATGATCCTCGAGGTCCTTCCAACCCTGGCCATTCTGTGATTCCCTTCTCAGTGTAGTAGCTGAATCCTTGTCTTCAGTATTAAAGTAAGTGCTCTGGCTTGAAACCCAAAGTTTCTGTGATAAAACAAGTGATGAGCACCCTTTTGAATTTGGGCAGCTAATAAAAATAGATGTATAAATTGAATTCATGTTGTGGCATGAACTATTGCTTGTGTAGCTAGAGTGTGTGGTGAGGCAACACAGGAAAGGGAATGCTGGAATTGCATTGCCACCGGCATGAAAGCTATGGAGTAGTTTGCAAGATTTTCAGAGCACTAAAAAGTAGCATAGTGTCTCTGTAGTGTAGTTTACACTGTTTTGTAATGTTGAGGAATAGCCTAACATGCTTTTCAAGCAGGGCTTATTGTATCTTTTAACAATGCAGAAGACTGTTCTAAGTGTCTATAGGGAAAACTTGAGTTTAGAAAAGGTGAACTGCTTAATGTCTCATACTTAATAAACTATTTTCGGAAGCTTTTCAAGCCTCTGTTGTTTCAGGAATGCAAAAGTGTAATCCCAGAACCTGTGTGTCCTCTTACGGTATGAATGCATTTTCTTGCTGAAGTTCTTCTGTGCCTAGGGTTGTGTTTCTTTTCCAGGTCTCCTCTGAGACTGTGGAAAGAGTTGAGTTTCAGGCAGACACATGACCAAGCAAAGTGAAAGGGGAAAACAAACTAAAGAAGGGAAATCAGAGAAGGTAATGGGAAAAGTCAGGATCCTAATAGCCCTTTCAGAGGGATGTTAAGAAAAATGCACAGAAGAAAATCCACCAGTAACTAATAGCAGACTAACAGTCCCTCCTTGGGGGGGGAGTTTTCAATTCATAAAGTTGTGAAAGTGATCACAAATTATGACCAAAATTGATCCAGCAAATCTCTGTCTCAGCACTTTTTAATGGTGCATAGAACTCGAGCCAAGTTTCAATCCACCTGATTGATGCTTTAGAAATGAGTGTAAAAATCTATACGGGAGGGAGGGAAAGCCTGTTCTTACCTTTGGAAGGACTCTCAGCCTGTGGACTGCTGTTCCTTAGGGCAAGCTGAACGTTTGAGAGTAGCTGGCAGCAGAAACAGGTGGACTGCTTGGGTTTTGCG